CCAGAAGCGGGGCCACTGCTCCCGGGGAGAGGGGCGGGTGCGGACAAGGGTAATGGGGGGCCATGGCTGAGGTCAGGAGCGGAGCCAGGATTGGGGAGCTGCGGTGGTTGGAGGCCAAGACTGGGAGTGGGGCTGGGGCAGGGCTGGAGCAGAGCTGGGGATGAAGAGGGGTTGGGGGGCACTCCCTCCCTGCCCCCCGTGGGGGCTGGCCCCAGGCCCCATTGTGACCCTTGAATGTTCCTCCATGCCCCTCTGGGGGGAGACCCCCACAGTTTGGGGACCACTGTTTTAGAAAGACAAGTCAGTTTCTGTTGGCATATTGCACTGTAAGAAAGGCATAAGAATCTCTCATTATTGCCATATAATAGATTCCTAACAACCGCCACTTTTATCAGTCCTCTGGCAATATGCAGGCTCTTGGCATGAATTTAATCTATGTCCTACAAGTTCTAATAGAACTACCTTTCAGTCTCACAGTTGGGTAGGTGCCTTTCCCTTCTCACTCAAAGTATCTTGCTTATTCACCACTTTCTTGTCCAAGAGAGTTTGTTTTTTGGTAGGATCTTGATGAAACCTGACTTATACTTTCTCTCAAACGTGGTTTTGTGAATTAGCCAGCCCTCCATCCCCAAGGTCACTACAATCTTTCTTATATAATAGGACGTTTTATATTGCCCTTCTGGTTGAATCCAGACATCCTAAGGAAGTAGAAATGCATTAAGTTAGATGTGAACAGAGCCTACAGATAAAGATGTTCATAGCAGAGGCATTCAACACTCTTCTCCTTTTGTTTCTGTGCACTCTGTGAAAAGAGTAGTGACTTTTTTGTGGATGGAAATCTTAAAAGGAAATCCATAAGGCTGCTACAGGGTTTTCCATCAACTTTTTCAGACACTAGAGTTGACCTCCTGCAGCATTTGGTAGAAGGGTGTTAAGGATTACTGGGGTACCCTGTTCTGTAAATTCCTTTTTAGTTCTACAGGAGTAAATGGAATCCTCCTTCCCAAGGGATTATTTGCTGCTTCCCACTGTGAAGACTCTTGATATGGAAGGGACTGGAAGGGAAAATTCTGTCTTATCCATGAATTCTCATTCGAGGAACCTCCATGTTGCAGTCTGACTCTCCCTCAGAGAATTGATTAATGTCCAGTTCTCCCCCTTCCCCCGACTATTGTTTCAAGCCTCTTAAGAAAGTAAACAGAAGAAGGTATTCTTCCAGGAAATTTCTAAATTTCTTGTCAAGGCTCTGCTGCAAATGGTTTGTGTTGACTAGCACTTGCAAACTTTTATATAGATTCCAAAACTGGAAAAAAAATATTCTCCAGAATGATCGTTAGTTCTTCCTGAGGTGTGCCGAAGCCCATGCTCAGGGAAGAGATTTAGTATGCTTCTCCTTGCCATAGAGATGGGGACTGCCCTACTACAAAGACCTGACATGGAGGGTTCTAGAAAGAAAACTCACAGGTAAGACTGAATTTTCCCTTTCCAGTGAAGGGACTTGAAATACTGTACACTAAATTTGGAGTCTGAACAGGTTGCAGACTCAAAAACTTGTTTTTTCTTGTTTCAAGAATTTAGAAAAAATAACCGGCCTTGTTTGTTCATTCCCTTACATAATTCATTGTTGGTGTTACCACTGGTATTTTCAGCAGAATTCTTCCTTTAAATCAGTGTTTCCCAATCTTGGGACACCGCTTGTGTAGGGAAAGCCCGGGCCAGGCCGGTTTGTTTACCTGCTGCGTCCGCAGGTTCGGCCAGTTGCGGCTCCCATTGGCCTGGAGCAGTGAACTGTGGCCAGTGGGAGTCGCGATCTGCCGAACCTGCGGACGCGGCAGGTAAACAAACCGTCCCGTCCCGTCAGGGGCTTTCCCTACACAAGCGGTGTCCCAAGTTTGGGAAACACTGCGTTAACTAATTGACAGCAGTGTTTTTTTCACATACTTGCCCAGGATTTTAAAATGATTTCCAGTTTTAAAAGTCAAGTTATGATTTTACCAAGAAGAATCTGAAAGAAGAAAAATATGTTTAGTCATCTGCTTTGTGATCGTGCTACAGTAGCATACTTAATTTAACCTGAAAAGTGAGCAAACCAGACACTTAATAAAAATGTGATAAAATGACAGTTTACTCGGTAGCTAAAAGAGCAGTTTTGTAACGTGAGTTTGAAAATTATTTGAGGTATTATTGTATTTCAGTTTAAGTAGAAGTAACTGTCCAGCAGGCAATGACTTGAATTCACTGCCCAGAGGGGACGCCATGAAATAAAATTCTTCCCAGGTTCAATCCACATCACAAACATAACATGTTTTTCCAGTTATTCAACTTTCCTCCTTCAAAATCTCAAGGATTTATCTTGAAGCTTCAAATGCAACTAATTTCCAAGTTTTTGTTTAATGAGCTGGCCTTAGAATTAAACTATGGTGTTTAAGTGGGACTACAAATAGAATGTAGTCCTTTTCTTGTTTTGACAACAGGCAGTTGTGAAAACCCAGTTAAGTATTTCTGAAGCCTTTGACCATAGTAGTACTACTGCAACTGAAAATTCTTAATTGTAACATTCAAGGAGTGCTTGTAAGCTTTTTGGCATTGCATGTTAAATATTTGCTTTCAACTCTGGTACAAATGTAGTAAATTAATTGTTGGCTAACTAGTTTAGAGTTTAGACAAACCATGACTTTCATTTTACTGTTTTAATATGATACTTATTTTGAGGAAAAAAATATTTAGGAATGGGAAGAATTAAAACTGTTTGAGGATTTGATCCTTGTTCTATTACATTTGTATTTTCTTGGATTTTAGTACCCAGGTATCCCAGCATTAGTTATATTATTTAAATGTGTACTGTAATGTAAATTAGTGATCTCAAAAACATTGTTTATCCAGTATCTCAAATTAACTGTTAAGGAAATGCACGTGTTGGAAAAAATAGTTTGTTAGCTTCATTCTCTTCACTCTTTTTGGCCACAAATTTGCAATCCTAATGGAGTTCCTAAGTTTAAAAACCAACAAACAAAAAAACCTCACACATCTCACACAGCTGGGGGTTTTGTGGAAAAATGTGATTGTGTAATTTAAAACTGTATCATAATGCATGAATGCAAGGTGGCAAGATGAAATGATATCAAGATTAGAAGATGAGACGCATGGGGGGCAGAGGTAGTGAAGTTTATGTAGTCTAGTAAAGAAGATTGTGAGGAGGACATGAGTTTACAAATAACTAAGTTACAGTGAAAGCTAGAGTAGGCAGACTTCAGGTTGGGTGTTAGGCAGTTGTCCCTGAAAGAGCAATTTGAATGGAAAATTTAATGCAATTATATAAATCATTTATACATCCTCACTTGCTGCAAGGCTTTGATATTGACTACCACATGTCTTCGAGGCAACAACATAGCCATGTTAACCATGTTTGCACTATATAAATTTCTTTCAGTGTGTTTGTGTGTATACACACACCTAAATGTACAGCATATAAACTGTGATCATCCTACATCTCTGCACAATTCATATTTTATTGAAGTTCAGCAAAGCTTGTGCAGTTTTGTATGTAATTGTAGTGTCTTAAATGTGATCACTCAAGTTTTTGTTATAGTCTAATGAAAAACAAGCAGTGTTATGATACTCTGCTTTTGAATGTCCACTGTGGCGACTTTACTTTTTAATCTATATAATTTAAAGATGGGGTCATCCATACTATCCCTAATTATTAATTTGTATTACCGTGGCACCTAGGAGCCTTGCCATGGATCAGGACCCTGTTGTGCTAAGCACTGTAAAAATACAGGAAAAAAAGACAGTCCCTGTCCCAAAGAGCTTACAATCTAAGTTACACAGCAGATGTCTAAAGATATATAAATGAGTACAAGGGAACAATGAGACAGCATTGGTCAACTTGATAAACAGTGCCACCAACAGCCTAACCATTGTCAAGTTTTTGTAGGCATCACATCAAAGGAGAGTTTCAAGGAGGGAGTTGAAAGTGGTTAATGGGGTAGCTTTACAGATGTTCCCAGGGGGTACCTCCCAAGAGTGAAGGACAACATGGGAGAAAGCACAAAGGTGCTTGTTTGAAAACAGGTGGGCAGTGGAAGTTGGCATCATGGCCCAATTGAAGGCGGGAGTCAACCTTTCAATAGTAAGTGAGATGATCATTCGTGAAGGGCCTTGTAAGTGAAGACAAACCGCTTATGTTGTGATAGAGAAGGAGAACCCAGTGGAGGGTTGCAAGGAGGGTTGACATGCTAAGAATACCCATTGATACTATCCTACACGTTCTGTAGGACAAGGAATAAGAGACATACATGCTCCTCTGTGCAGCCTCCCCAGTGTGTCTGTTAGCTCCTGCTATACACCATGTGTCTGTGTATCAGGTACTTCCCTTCTCTCAAGTAGTTGAGGTGTGGGTAGCGAGTGGGTATAGTCCCCCATTGCAATGGTTCTCAACCTTTCCAGACTATTGTAGTCTTTTCTGGACTCTGAATCCCAAACCCCACCGCCTGGGGCTGAAGCATGTAACTTAGCTGTGCGGGGCCCCCTGTGGCGTGAGGCCCAAGCAGTTGCCATACTTGCCACCCCCTAATGCCAGCCCTGCACTTTGAATCCCACCATAACCTCTCCCGTGACTCCTCTGGGGCTCATGACTCCCAGGTTGAAAAACACTGATCTAGATGAATTGACGTAACCCCTGGAAGATCTCTATGTACCCTGGTTGAGAACCACTGCTCCAGTGCACCAGTATTAGCAGATTTCTTCTCCCTGCAAGCAAGATGGGAGCAGGAAATGTATTGTGACTCTGAGACCCTGAGGTCCTTCTGGGGCAGCACCGTTGTGCAAAGATTTGCCTCTTACACAAAACTGTACCTAAAGCAGTCTAGCCCTATACAATGCCTCCAAAATACAGTGTTGACTATGTATAAATGCACATTAATAGCAAGTTTTTGCTGAAGGAAAGTATGTATAAAGACAAGTTGTTCAACTTTTCCCCTCCTCACTTATATTTTTAGTTCAAGTGGTTGCTAATGTGAGAAGACAACATGCCATTTTGAAGTATGACAGAAGTCCTGATGCTGCAGCAGAGGCTAGGAATATTAATGGCCAAATCTAGGTGAGTGAATTTAGTTAAGTTCTACCAGTTCTCAGGCTTCCATACTGTGGGCCTTTTAACCTCAATTCCACACGGTCCCTGAAATAGCTTTAAGTGCTCTGTGTCCTAAAACATTAAGGAGGCAAAACCATAAACTCCTCTGACTATTGGATTATATTTCCCTTCTCCCTTTTTGTATATCTATTTATTTCCTCTTCGTGGGGGGGGTAGTGTTGAAAATTAAGTACCAGATCTCTTCACTTCATCTGCAACTCCCATTGCTCTATATGTGCAAGTCACACTTCCCCATTGTAACTGAAACAGCTCTGCACCCATCTGGAAGTGCTCTGTGGACCACAGAGCGAGCCCTTCTGTTGTAAATGTGTTTATTTGTATTAACTTTAATATCTATCTGCATTATAGCTACCTTTCATAATTGTTTTCAATAATACTTCCTCAAAATAAATGAGCAGCATCAATAGACTACAGCAGGGGTTCTCAAACTGGGGGTCGGGACCCCTCAGGGGGTCACGAGGTTATTACATGGGGGGGTCATAAGCTGTCGGCCTCCACCCTAAACCCTGCTTTTCCTCCAGCATTTATAATGGTGTTAAATATATAAAAAAGTGTTTTTAATTTATAAGGGGGGGTCGCACTCAGAGGCTTGCTATGCAAAAGGAGTCACCAGTAAAAAAGTTTGAGAGCCCCTCCCCCAGTTCCAGTGTCCCTGGATGAGCTTCTGTGCTATGTCTCCAAGGGCACTCCCAATACTGGGATGCTTTGAAGGCTGGAGAGGTCCCTGATGTAGCTCAGACATCCCTGGGGCCTGTCTAAGTTAGGGCAGCCTTCCAGAGCTGCCCTAGGGACTTGTTGTGCTGCCTGCTACTGGGACACGTCCTGGTGCATACTCCTTATAACTGGAGTTTGCGTAAGGATCCATAGGCTATCTCCATGGTGCCTGTGCTGGGGAAACTCTCCCTGAGCCAGAACTGGGCCTTTTAGAGCCTTTTGGCCCAGTGTGGATAGTTTGGAGAGGGGTGAGGGTCTCACCAAGAAACGTTTCCAAATGTTGTCATGGGAATTCAATTCACAGCTCAAATGAGTCTATTTGGTTACTGCAAGTTTTACTTATGGCAGGATTCTTACAACTTTGTATGGACATTTTTTTTTCCAGTCAAATTGTTAGAAAATAATTTTAAAAAATGGCATGTTATCATTATGTAATGTTTTAATATTTTTATAACAGCTTGTGTGACTGCTGCAAAATACGTCAGACATTTGTCATCTCAAGGAGAAATATTAGTGCATTTGGTTTTGTTGTGTCAATGAGATGTATATATGGTTAGTGGCTGTTATTGGGGTGTCTGAAAATTAATTTTAAGTTTAAAAAGGGATTTAAATTAAATCGGTATATTTTTAAAAAGAAATGTATTTAAAATTGACAACCTATCCTAAACTTACTAAAATCTATTAAAAATCATTTAATTAAAAAAAATCAGTCCATATTAGATGCTGAAGTTTAAAAGGTAGTCAGAACACTGACTTGGAGAAAGTCACTGATTAAATACCTAGAACCAAAGTGTGTTGAAATGTGAAACCAACTCTTGATAGCAGTAGTCTCTTCTGCAGATAGAGAGAAAATATTTTCTTCAAATCAGTTTATTCAACTAGTTTTAGTTCAGTGACAAGTTCATTCAAAGTTAAGAAACTGGTTGGGAATCAAAAAAGCAGGAAAACTTGTTTTCCTCTTCCAATCTATGAACAAAAATAAGATATGAGAGAGTGAGATCGACTAGTTTTAAAATCTTGAAAGACATGGTGACCAGAAACTATTAGTTCAATTCACTAACTACAAGTACTTATTTTGTTTAATCAAATTTAAATACAAAACATGTTTTGGTAAACTTACTTTTCCCCTTAGATATCTATCATATTCAGGGTAGTTTTACTTAATCAAAAACAGAATTTTAAAATTTTATTAATTGAATTGCAATTTTCGTCCAAATACAACTTGACTCAAATCATGAGTAAAATATTAATCTAGTAAATAAATTCATCATTAACTATTTTCTAACATAATGTAATGTAAAAATTAATCTGAAATGTTAAGCTATATAATTGCTTAAATAAATATGAACAGATATAATTTATACTCCTGATTAGCAACAAGTACCAAATTTAGTGTAAAAGCTATATTTAGTAGTTGCAAATTAATGTGTTTTTAATGATTACATCAACCAGTAAGAACCATCTTTGTTAGGAATATAAAAAGAAAAAAAAAAAAAAAAAAAGAAAAAAAAAAAAAAGACCTTAAATCAAGCTTTCCTGCTTGCTGATTTAAATCATGATTAAAATTGTTGATGTAAATGTCTTTGATTTAAATCAATCCACCCTGGGTATTCTTGGGTTCCCTTCCCCCAAGTAAATTACCACTTTCTTTTTTGGCTCTAGAGAGTACATGGTCTTCTAAAGAAGCCATGGGTAGCTGCTGTAGCTGTCCAGATAAAGAGACTGTCCCAGACAACCATCGAAACAAGTTTAAGGTAAGCAGTTGATTTTTTGTGTTGCAAACTATTTTGTCATTCCCTTGCAAAATAGAATCCAGATATAAGAATTGGAATGAAGAAAGTGTTTGTAATGTTTATGAAAATCAAGCCATCAGAGACTTACCAGTTTATATGGCTAAGAATTCTTCTTTATCCGTAAGGAGCCCTATATTAGGTCCAGTAAAAGGACTATTTTAAACATGTCTGGTTTTGAGTAGTGATGGATATTCATAGACCTTTGGTCGTCTGTAAGGTGAAAAGCCATGCGTCTTAGGCAATTCTTGGGTGGTGTATCTCCATTTAAACAGAAGGTCAGTATTAATGTAACATTTTTGAGAAAACTTGCTTTACTTGAAGAAGTAGTAGTGGTATTTCCAAGTCCTTGTTGTCACATGCAAAGAATTCCTAGGAGTTTTAGGCCTGCAGATACTTTTATGCATGAGCTTAACCTTAACCATAAGTAGTCCTATTGACTGCAATGGTCTCATGTTGCCCAGTTACACAAGATTGATATTTGATTTTCTGTCCCAGTCTGTCTCACCGAGATCCCAGGAGAATGAGGGCGAGTGGCTGTACTTTCCATCATGAACAGTGACTCTTGCAGACAACTTAAGGGGATGCTGTTAAATACCACATTAATGTCTGGACATTTTTATTTACTTTTGTTACAAATAGCACCTAATAACCGAAAGATCAGAGACTTTATTTCTGTTTTTTCAATTTGTGCTTTGACAGCATTTTGTTTGGTAGTCAGTTTCTCTTTTCCCCCTATACAGTTAACTTCTCTGTTGTTTGTGTGAGTCTTTTACTTAAAAACCAGGGAGAGAAAAAAGAGACTATTTGCGAAACCACAGAAAATGTCAGGAGCCTCAGTGGCAGGTGAAACAACTTCTCCTTTTAAAAAATTGACTAGATTTCAATTTGACAATATCTCTTTTTAAGAAGAAAATTAATTCTAACCAGTTTTTTTTAATTGAGTGAGGAGTGGTTAGGACAAAAGGCACTGAAATAGGGGCTATTACACTGTGAATAAATGTGGGAATTGTCCAAGTTCTATCAGGGATAAAGAGGGTGCTGTGACAGTTTTAATGGGCACATTACATATAAAAAATACAGACTTAGATTTTATTGGACTTACCCTTTCTGCTTCAAACGTCTGTAGTGTTGAGGTAACAAGTTACAGTAATGATTTGCGCCTTTTGATACACACTGCTTTAAACATACACTTCTTTTTTTAAAAAAAGAGGCAAATACTCTCATCTAGAGAATTAGCACTTCCTGACTTGCTCTTATACAAAAATGTTTTATTTTCAAAAATAGTTAAACCTGTAATGTTTTGTATCTCACCAGCAGCTATAAACTCTTTTTTCAAATTTGTATTTGATGGGTCAGATGTTGTATGTTAATGAAATGTCCAAGAAGCTTATATAATGGTATATAACTCTTATTTTAAAGGTCATTAATGTAGATGATGATGGTAATGAACTGGGTTCTGGCGTAATGGAACTTACAGATACAGAACTAATTTTATACACCCGTAAACGGGATTCCGTAAAATGGCACTACCTCTGTCTCCGTCGCTACGGCTATGATTCAAATCTCTTTTCTTTTGAAAGTGGTCGACGATGTCAAACTGGACAAGGTACGTAGCACCTATATGTGTGTGTATATATAAGTATTTTAGCAACCTATTTCACAAGTCTGTAAATGAAATGCAGCTCACTCAGTTTTGCCTTCTTGAGAGCAAGAATGGAAAGAGTGGGTTTTTTCTTCTTGAATGTAGGCATCACAGAAAAATCTTATAAGTAGCACTTTGGGGAACAGTTCTGGTTAAATGGCCAGCATTTTAAATAAGGTGCGCCTGATTGCTGTGGAGCAGTTTGTCTGCACTATATGAAAGAAGATCTGGGAGACTTCTAGTTTCTGAAATCACCAAAGACTTGGAATATTTTGTACTCCTTTGCTGAGATCACTAATCAGTTTAGGAGCTGATTTAATGGGTTTTGTAGAGGGTTGCAGCCAACTCTCCTTGCTCGAAGTGTTGACTTTTCTGATGTTTCTCATTTTGGGGAAGGAGAAATCTAAAAATGAAGATTTCAGAGAAGCCTTTCTGAAAACTAACAGATTATTTTAGCTGAATTCATCATTACACCTGTTATGAGGGCAGCAAGTGGTGGCGGGGGGGGGAGAGGGAGGTATAATAAACCTGAGCACTTGCATGATCAGGTCTGTCTGCCTTGTTTATTTTTAAACGTAGTATTTAGAACACATACTTGCATTTTCTATCCTTCTCCCTTAAAAAAAAATACAATTTTTTTATAAAAGCCAAAACATCAGTGAAATCATACTTTTTCCTAAATTCTGTTTTTATTTTAAATATGAAGCACTTCATTTCAGCACATTTGAGAAGAATGAGGGAAAGGTGGCTCCTACTATTCCATTCCCTTAATCCTGAGCTGACTGGGGAGTCAAAATGGCTCCCAGTTGAAGGGCCAAACAGCTACACTAAGTTACACCCACTGCAGCAGTCCCTATATGACAGCTGCACTGGTCAAGGAACAGGTGAAGTACCGTGTGCTCCATGACACCATTTCTATGCTTCCCTATCCCTGACGCACCACCTTCATAAAGGTATTGGGATGGTGGCTACCCCATCTCCGACGTTCAAGAATTCCTCTATGTCAAGGGGAATCTATGGCTACCCGTTCATTGCAGCTTCTTGCAGCACAGTGCAGCCAGACGGGCTGGAGATCTGGCTTGAAGTGTTGATTAACTTTACCTTTTTAAAAAGCAACCACTGTTTAAAGCAGGTGAGAGTAGTTGGAGTCACCCATTTTTACTATTTTGTTAGATTAAGTTGCATTCTTAATCGCCCTTAACATTGTTTACTCGAGTATCAGGGGGTAGCCGTGTTAGTCTGTATCTACAAAAACAACAAGGAGTCTGGTGGCACCTTAAAGACTAACAGATTTATTTGGGCATAAGCTTTCGTG